TTCTTTCTTTCTTATGAAACTGAAATGCTTCCTGGTGGTCTACAACTGGACGTTACTAATACAGAAAAGTAAATAACCGAAAAAGTCAATAACATATATGTAAGCTTTTCTTGAAACGATCGAGATTAATTCATTTAAGAAAAAATAACAAGATTAATTCAACAATGCAACTCAAAATTAATAATTTGTAAAACGTTCAATTTAATCGTCATCAATGTACATATTTAATAATTTCAATGAATTTATTAGAGAAACCGTATTGTATGGAACTTTTTGTTTAACCTTATATTAACCTTCATCTTGATATCTACAAAAGGCAAGTTGGGAGGATAATGCTACAACACACAATTTAGTCACATTTTTAGACATAAAGTACAATAATAGCTAGTGAAGATAGAATTTTTTTGTTTTGTTTTTTGACGTAGCTAGTGAAGATAGAATAAGTCTAATAACTTTAAAGTATATTTTTGAAAATATGAGTTCTATAGATATTGAAAGAAGAAGAAAAAAAGAAAATACTAAAAGCATTGTTAAAAACATATATAGTCCAATAACATTGTTACAGATAATGTTTAGCTATCAAAGATATAATAAACTAATAATTTGAATGAGAACACATGTCATACAACGAATTAATAACAATTGTTGTGAAACGTGTATAATGCATATATGTATTGGATGGATTTAGTCGCATTAAAGATTTTGTCACCTTTTCGAGTTCTACGGGTGCTAACGTCGCTTATATCTAGGCTTAACGTCGGTTCTTGACAACTGCCGACGTAAAATAACTTTGCTTCATTTTGAAAACAGACGTTAGCTAGGTTTGGCTTCTAAACACTAAAGTCAGTTTTATTAGTTTATAATATCGGTTATAACCAAGGACTCCAACACTTGAAAACGTTATCCATATCATTATTCAACCCCTATAAAAATATTGAACTATTTGTCTCATGTAGTTAAAAATGAAAAATTATTGTGAAAAATTGTTGTGAAGAAAATACTTCTCACAAAAAAAATATTTTAGGAGTAGCTTTGGTACAATACTAGCACTTTCTTTCACTCATTTTGCTTTTATAATTTATTATTTAATTAATTTTACCGTTGTACTATTACCAATTAAGTACCAAAGATATGTCCAACCAATATGCTGGTAAACGACGAAAGGTGTATAAGCCGATTGGTAATGTTAAGATTCAGAGGCTCAAAAAACGTTTCTTTAAAGAGCTTGAAACCAAACAAACCAAGAGAGGAGTTGCTTGAGGTCATAACAGAGAGACATGCATAGAGAAAACAGAGTAAAAGGAGATTGAGA